TATGCCATAATTTTTGTGTTAGAACAGAAATATAGTTGAGGCTAAAAATAATCTGTAAATAAAAGAACCTGTCAGTCACTAAAACTATTGTTTATGACATACTACGAGGCATCTACAATGATCCGAAGTATCTTATATTGAAATCTCTGTAGGATTTCTATATTAAAGTTTGAGGTACACCATAATTTTATACTGAAGTATGCTATAATTTTTGTGTTAGAACAGAAATATAGTTGAGGCTAAAAATAATCTGTAAATAAAAGAACCTGTCAGTCACTAAAACTATTGTTTATGACATACTACGAGGCATCTACAATGATCCGAAGTATCTTATATTGAAATCTCTGTAGGATTTCTATATTAAAGTTTGAGGTATACCATAATTTTATACTGAAGTATGCCATAATTTTTGTGTTAGAACAGAAATATAGTTGAGGCTAAAAATAATCTGTAAATAAAAGAACCTGTCAGTCACTAAAACTATTGTTTATGACATACTACGAGGCATCTACAATAATCCAAAGTATCTTATATTGAAATCTCTGTGGGATTTCTATATTAAAGTTTGAGGTATACCATAATTTTGTACTGAAGTATGCCATAATTTATGTGTTAGAACAGAAATATAGTTGAGGCTAAAAATAATCTGTAAATAAAAGAACCTGTCAGTCACTAAAACTATTGTTTATGACATACTACGAGGCATCTACAATGATCCGAAGTATCTTATATTGAAATCTCTGTAGGATTTTTATATTAAAGTTTGAGGTATACCATAATTTTGTACTGAAGTATGCCATAATTTATGTGTTAGAACAGAAATATAGTTGAGGCTAAAAATAATCTGTAAATAAAAGAACCTGTCAGTCATTAAAACTATTGTTTATGACATACTACGAGGCATCTACAATGATCCGAAGTATCTTATATTGAAATCTCTGTAGGATTTTTATATTAAAGTTTGAGGTATACCATAATTTTGTACTGAAGTATGCCATAATTTATGTGTTAGAACAGAAATATAGTTGAGGCTAAAAATAATCTGTAAATAAAAGAACCTGTCAGTTCTAAAACTATTAGATCAACAATTTTTTTCTCTCAGTGTTGCGCGAATTAATTATATTCGCAAAAGTTTCGTAACGGGACTCGAAGGCGACGCGATAAAGAAATAATGCGATGAACTTTGGCTTTCTGTAGCTAAGATTGCTGAAATATGTAAAAGAAGCTATTGTGCAGTCCTGGAGGGAGGAGAGAGAGAACGGAAGGTAAATATAGGAGACGAAGCGTTGTTATTAGTTAAAGTATTTTGCCCATTTTGGCCATCGCGACTAATAATAAATCGCATAGTGACAAACATAAACTATTTGAAATACCAATACGAAGTACCTATCACCTGTTATTACCGACCCGACTGATCCATTGATCACTACACGATTCATTATTAGTCGCGATGGCCCAAAATGGGCAAAATACTTTAACTAATAGCACTTCGTATTTACCTCCCGTTCCCTCTTTCCTCCCTCCAGGACTGCACAATAGCTTCTCTTACATATTTCAGCAATCTCAGCTACAGAAAGCCAAAGTTCATCGCATTATTTCTTCATCGCGTCGCCTTCGAGTCCCGTTACGAAACTTTTGCGAATATAATTAATTCGCGCAAGTGCGTTATCGGCGTTAAACAAAAGGGCGAAACGAGGATCGTCGACCCGACCGAAACTACAACATTAATCTAATCGATTCGTCGAGTAATACAAGCGCGCGACTGCGATCAAAGGCGCAGGGGTGCACCACTACTAAACCGATCACGACCGATTGCGAGATCGGCACTCGCCTGGTTTACGATCGGTCGTGCCTGCCTCGCGTCAGGAACGGACGGACCCTCGGATGGGCGAACTTAATCGCTAATTGGGTGAGAATAGTTATGAGAGCGCAAATGGCCCGGCACGATCGATGGACCGACCTTTCCTGATTCCGGCGACGGGACGGACGGATACATGTACAGGACGTATTGAATGCGACTTTTCGCATATTTGCCGGTTCGAGCCATATGCTCGCTCGCAACACCAGCCGTGCCAAAGATGACCTTATTCACGTGCCGATCACAATAGCTCGAAATGTGTCGCCGTTTAAATGGGGGCCGCAGGTCGCGAGAAGCGCGCTCAATGGCACGGCCGCCGCGCCTCGTTAGCCTTGTCGTTTAGGAATTATATATAATTTCAACCGTTACTATTATACGCATACTGTGCGCGAGCACGCCCCGCCCGGCCTTTATGCGGCCGCGAGAGCATTGATTACGAATTCTATTGGGTTAGCGACGAACGACTTCTGGTCGACTTTCGATCGCGAACGCTCGTTCGGCTAACGGGGGCAACGTTACCGTCGTTACAAGGGGTGTAAAGGCATGTTTCGCGCGAGCGCACGATCTCTCATTGGGGAGAATTGCCGCCGATGAAGACATCGCCCCGGGAATCGCGCGATTCACGGAAGTGCATGATGGATGAGCGCCCGAATAGTATTGAAATTTAACAAAGAGGACCACTTCCCAGCGAATCGCGTTCTTTCTACCACGGAGGAAGTGGGTTGGTTGATTCAGCAAATCTATAGTTTGCTGGACAAAATAAAGGTGTCGCTAAACATGAAATAAAAATGTTGTTACTGAGCAAATTTGCTCATGCAGCGAATGATATATGGAAGTAACTGTCAACCTGCTCATACGATAAACTAATTTTTGTAGACATTATTTTACCTATTATTGTTATGTCTATGTAAATCGTACACAATGATCGCTATTATCTTCTATTTGGGATGTGATAAGCGAGCGTAACTCGGATCACGTGGCGAACACGCCGAATAAGTTTCCCAGTCTTTTTAAACGTACGCGGTGAGTCAAACCGATCCTGAATCCTAATCGACATCAATTCTAAATATTAATATAATTAACTTCCCTAAATAACCCATTACTTTGATTCCAAATTACAGTTGCGAAAAATATCGTCTCAGTCAGGAGAATCTGGACCTCCCCATTTGCCGGGCGGGACGCCGTACCAATTCGGTTACTGAAACCTCGACGATACTCTTCGCAACACAACGCTTATAAGTAATTGTTCGCAACTATAATTTGGAATCAAAGTAATGGGTAATATCGGGTTATTTAGGAGGGTTAATTATATTAATATTTAAAATTGGGATTCACAGGGTCGGTTGGATGTGGAAGGTTGATTCATCGTGTAAGTTTAAAAAGACTCAAAACCTATCTGGTGCACATACGTTAACACTGTCAAACATTATCCTCCCAACATTTAGTAAAAATAATATTCACTTCAAGATCAGCGTTTGACTCTTATTTGCCTATTAATATGTTTAATAAATAATATACTAATAAATTTTCAATTTATAATTATTGATTATTTCTTTTGATGTGTGATACGAGAAACATCTTCCCCCTTTCCCAGAAGAGGTGGCGAGCGAGAGCTCGCACGGGAGTCCCTCACCACCTGTTTATAAAAGGCGATCAGTTTGGCGACGTACTTTAATCGGCTCAGTCAAATTAGTCGGTTCAGTAAACTCACTTTTAATCAGCTTGTTAGCTAGCACAATAGTTTATTCTTTCAAAAGCTCAATAAATCTCTTATCCGCTCAATATATACAAATTCAGTTAGTTACCTTCAACTAATCAATTATCAAAATGTTATAAATATGCGTCCGCATAAAATTATTAATATATAATTGTTAATATAGTAAGTCTATAGTATATCATATCATTAAATAAAAGTTCATTATTCGAAAGTGTTTCTCCATTCGGTGACTACTCAGTGTAAAAGGTAATATTATACCCAGTCACCTGCTCATATATCCAAACATCCTAAAGATCAACTTTCCGACCCGCAATTCTCGACTGACACTCGGTCAAAACAGTGCAAAAGGAATGTTAGTAAAATCTTTTATAAAAGAGTTGTTAAACTTCTCTAAAAATCGTAGAGTTTTCTATTGCAAAGTATTTATTAACATATCCTTTCTTAATTCAAATCACATATATATACACATTAATATACAAACTTGTCTATCCCGGGGTAAATTTTTTGATCTCAAAGAGAACAATCATACAACACACACATTAAGATTCAATCACGACGTAACACGCTAAATATATTATTTCGTACTTTAAGTTAATTTAAGTTTACAAAATAAATTCATTAATTTTATTTAATTAATTTAATTTATTTTACCGAAAAATCACGCTGTACTTTCACTAGACGATAAAGAATAATTTTTGTTTGTTTTAGGGGGAAATGAATCAATTTATTTACAATTGTATTGTACACGTATATCAGCGTTTTCCAAGATTGACATAGAAAACAATTTTCTATCATTACATATCGATTTTTATTGTTGTATTAGCTAACTTGTATTGCTAGAACTAACTATTAACTATAACGAAAGAAGGTTATGCGACAATCTGCGGTCACTGTATAAACTTTGTTTATAATCATACATTGATACAAGGATCCAATGCGGGATTGAAATGTTTGTTTTTTCGTTGCGATGATTATGATTTTTGTATGCGCAATCTTTGATTAGATATTTAAGATGTAATAAATGTGTATTTCCTTCTGGCACCTAGCTCTTACAGGTCCATTTTCGTTTATATCGGAAAGAAGTTCGTTAATGTACCAAATTTCCTCTGATACAAAATAATAAAAGAATTAATTATCTCAATTAGTATCTATTTCTCATTAGTTCTTACAGAGAATCATCTTTGCTGTACCTATAAATCTGCCGTGATAAAAATTGATCAGATTCAATCACAAATTTTTTGTTATAGGCAAAAAGATAAATTGTTTCTTGTAAATTATCATGACATTATCCGCGCGAATTATTATTATTACTAAAGAGTGATTTATTAACTCATATCTCATATCTTATTACTCATAGCATACGCGTCGTTTCGCCTCTCGACGATTGCACAAACCGCTAGTGTAATAAAGAAGACGTTCTCTCACCTAAATAACGGCAGCTCTACGTCCATTGATGATGCGCCGGGGGCGGCGGCGGCGGCGGCAGTGGCAGGGGCCTCTCGAGAACAGGCAGGGGGGACACCTCCGGCATGGCGAACCTCAGCTTCTGCCAGAACAACTTGTCCCCCCACACGAGCACGGTGTGCGACGAGATCCTCTTCTTGAGATCGGCGTCGAGATCGCGCGGGCACACACCGCCCACCAAGAGCAAGATCACCGAACGGCCCTTACCCTTGAGAGCGTCCCTCAAGGCCGCCTTGAATTCGAACCTGGCCCACTCGCCGTGCAGAAAGTTCTTGGACAGTACGAGAATCGTGCGCCTGGAGGAGTCGGCCGCCTCAGCGACGGCGTCGGCAACGTTGCTGCCGGCGCCGAGATCGCGGTAATGCAGGCACAGCCTGTACGAGTTCTCGAGGCTGGGTACGAGGATCGCCGAGACGAAGGCCTCGTCCACCGCCGAGTACGAGATGTAGGCGTCGAACGGCTTCTCTTGGTCCTCAAACGCGGCGGTCTTGTAACAGGCGCGCAGGCCGCATCTGCTCGCGGCCCAGGTCCTCAGGGTGCGACGATGGCGGAACGCACCGCAGACCAAGGCGACCGTCGCGAAGATCAGCACCGCTGTGGTGAGAAGTAGCAGCAGGTACGCCTCGAGCGGTCGCGTCTCCACCGCGGAGGTCGTGCCGGTTAATGCCGCGCAATTTATGACCGATCCGTTCGCCGGTAGAGTTATAGGTACGCCGAGGGAACAGGTGACGCTGCGCCAGTCGTTGATCTTCGGCCGGTTACGGGATATCCACTCCCGCACGCGATCCAAGTACGAGCACTCGCAGCTCCACGGATTGCTGGAGAGGCCGATGTCGATGAGATACGGATTCTGCGCGAGCTGCCAAAGGGCGAAAGTGCCCAGCCGATTGTTCTCCATGCGTAGCACTTCGAGCTGACGTAGCGGCAGAAACGTGCCGTTGTCGATGTACGTCAGTAGATTGTTCTGCAGGTAGAGCTCCTTGAGATTCTCCAGCGGCATCAGCTCGACGCCGTTCAGCACGCTGATCTTATTGTTCTCCAGATGGAGCACCAGCAGCCGCTTGAGGCCGCTGAACGTGTGATTGCGTATCGCGATGATGTTGCTGTCATTCGCGTAGAGGATACGCAGATTTTTTCGGCCAATGAACGAGTGGGAGTTGAGCTCACCGAAATTGTTGCCGTCCAGATAAACCTCGGTCGCGTCCATCGGCAATCGGCCCGGCAGGCTCTTGTAGCCGGAGCTCGAGCAGTCGACCACGTTCGCCGACCAGGACTGATCGTGGTAACACGTGCAATTGGTCGGACACGTCATCTCACAATCGCAGGCGTCAAAGTCGCAGCAATGACAGAGTGCGAAGCAGTGCGCCTTATAGGTGCATAGGAACTGCGAGGGCTTGGCCTCGAGCAGCGGTATATACGACTTGTGACGATCGTACGGTAGTCTGCAGTAAACCGATTCGAGATCCATCACTCGCGGATGCTGCCTCAACGTCAACGAATTGATCCTCTGCAACCACTCGGTGGTGCAGTCGCATATAAAGGGATTCCCGCCGATGTAGAACTCCGGCAGTTGCCGGCCAGGCGGCACCTGGGTGAGCTGAAACGCTGAGAGATTCATGTTGACGATAACGTTCGCATAGAGATCGACCCGGGTGAGATTGGTCTTGGCGAAGAACGTCTGCGGCTCCACAGCCTTTATAAGATTGTCGTTGACGAACAGCAGCTCGATGGAATCCGGAATTGAGCGCGAGTGTATCCTCGTGAGCCGGTTGAACGACACATCGAGCGTCTTCAGCTTCATGGCCCGCGGCGCGACACCAAGATCGCCGATCAGATTTTTGTGAAGGTCCATCCACTGCAATTTCTCGGGCAGGTAGCTGTAATTGAACTGCGCGATCATGTTGTCGGACATGTTCAGCCACAGGAGGTCGGGCGTGCTCGAGAAGATACTCGACATGTCCTGCAACAGATTCGAGTCCAATCGTATCGCCTGTAGCGCCGGATTCGCGGAGAACGCGCCGTCCTCCACGTATTCAATTCGGTTCATCGCGACATTCAGAATCTGCAGCGCCGGCAATTCCGCGAGGTCCTCCTGCGTGATGTTGGTGATCTCGTTACCCATCATACGCAGCCCGTACAGGCTCGACATGCCGCGAAAGCCGGGCTTGTTGAAGCTCCTGATCTGATTCTCGCCGAGGTCGAGGGTCCGCAAGATCCTCATGTCTTTCAGCGCGACCGGCACGTTGTCGAGATTATTGCCGGACAGGTTCAAGTCCTGCATGCTCGAGCAATTGCGAAAGGCGTCGGGATGAATTCCTTCTAACAGGTTCGAGTCCAGGGCTAACAATGAGAGAGCGAACAATCCGTTGAGGGAGTACGCGTCTAGATAGGTGAGACGATTGTGGCCCAATACGAGAGTGTGCAGATTGCTCATCGGCGAGAAGGTGTCGGCCGGTATCGTTTCTATCTCATTGAATTGGAGATTCAGAATCTGCAGAGTGTACAGATCCTTGAAGAGCGCCGGATCCAGCTTGCCGATGCGATTGTGAGACAGATTGAGAAGCACCAGCCGTATTAGGCCGGAGAAAGTATCCGCGTTCATCCACGGGCTGGTCAAGACGTTTTGCGACAAGTCGAGGGCGACCAGTTGATTCATGTCGGCCACCAGACCTGGCGACAGCGCGCTGATGGAATTGTTCTGCAATCTCAACTCCTTCAGCGACTTGGCTGCGTCGTGGAACACTCCCGTCGGCAGTGCGACGATCCTGTTGCCCGACAGATCAAGGGTCTCCAAGGACCTCAGTCCGTGCAGCGCCTTGTCGGCTACCATGGAGATCGCGTTGCTAGATAAATTCAATACCCGTAGACGCTTCAACGACGAGAATCCGTAGGTCGACAGCACGGAGATCTGATTGTTCGACACGTCTAACGATTGCACGTCCAGGGAGCATGAGAGCGGCGCCAACGTTGATTCGTGTTGACGTCGCGGTAGCAGTAGCAGCTTCTCACCGACGCCGCCGCCGCCGCCGCCGCCGCCGCCGTCGTCGCGAAAGCCGAGTTCGGAAATGTCCTTCAGCGTGTTCCATGAGATATTAAGGGTCACCAAGTTTGATAACGGGCAAAATAGACGGTCTGGTATCTGCCAAATGTTGTTCCACGACAGGTCCAGTTTCTCAATTTGCGGCGTGCCATCGAACGCGCCGCTCTCCAGCTCCAGACTGTATTTTGTCTTGCGCCCGTTCAGCGTCCGCACAGTCAGATTACGGAGATCGCGCAAACCACTCAGCAACTTGGCCGGCCAGTGTATCAGCTTGCATCCGGTCAGCTTGAGCGAACGCAGTCGCCATAGATACAGGAAGCCGTCCACATTGAGGACCCCGTCCAGATCGGAATCCTCGCAGACGACGTTCATCGCGGTCACGTACTCGCTGGTCGCCTGCGAAAAGTTCGTCCTGAGTGAATCGTTGCCCGCGTGACGATGCACGCAGGTGAGCGCGCCATCCTGCCGCGAGTCCCACGAACAATGCTCCGGTAGATCTAACCGCGGCGGTAGCTCGCTGGTCACGGCGAGCACGTGGTGCTGGTACAGCGGCACGAGCAGGCAGTAATAGGCGGCCAATGACAGCAACAACAGCGATCTCCCGGGACCTTCGAGACCGACGAGCCCACGCATCTTTAGTGAACTCGTTGCCTGCGCTCAGTATCGGTTCTCTGTCTCCTGATCATCACACGAACGACCGTGTTTCTTCTTCTTCAGCCCGTTGCCAGCTATTTATCGGCCCGTGGCGTCTTCCGTAGTTACGCGTCAGAAAAGTCCAGAGAGATGTGTCGATCGGAGAAACGTACACTTCTTCGTACCTTCGCGGTCGCGGCGATGTGCACAGAATCCACTTTGAACTGTCACGGTCCGACGCCGAAATATCCACTAAAGGATCGACGATGTGTGCTCGGTTAGTTGATAAATCCCCGGCAAGTTACCCGCGCCAGCCGTTACGATCGTTGCACCAACACGCGCCACCCCAATTAAGGATCGAAATTGTTTGCACTTTAGGATACACTTAGGTTTGACGGTTTGTTCAACGCGACACGGACGTATGTCTCTCTATCTCTCGTAGACAGTACTTTTCCTTTGCCTTATGTAGGACGATAAACTAACTTCTGTCGTTCGTGATTACCTTCGAACTTGGTGTGTTCGACCCGGCTTTTACTTCCTCGGAACTAATGGGCCAGTGGTATCACCGAAGAAAGTCACGTCACAGGGTTCGTTCGACGGGCATCGATCCTGTCGGCCTGTATCAGAATGTTACCCGCTTACGGTGACTCGCTGACAAGCTAACGCCGCGTCTCGCTACGGCATCCCGCATACTTCCGATCAAGCAGACGTGCTGTTGCTGCTGCTGCTGTTGCTTCACGTTTATCTGCGCCCCGACATTGGCATCTCGTGCGTACTTCCCGACCCGCGTCGCGAGATATGCCATTACAAAATCCCGCGCATCACACTGTTTCCCCGCCGATGCAGCCGAGCAAGCGCGCTTCGGATTCTCGATCGCGGCCCATTGAGAAGGAACGAGAGAAAAAGAGCGCGGTCGTTCTAAAACTCCAAAAACCGCGACGTCGACGAAGAGGAAAGAAGCGAAGAGTGCATATACGTGTTTACGAATTCCACAAGCTAGATACACGCAATGAAGACTGATACACGGAGACAGAGACAGAGGAGAGAAACGGAGCAGGAGATCGCTTCCGTACAACGGCGAGGAGCGTAGCGCTCGGTACGACGGCCACCGCACGACTGACGAGCGAGATCTCCTCAGCATCTAACTCGACGCAGCGTCCACCAATCGTTTCTACCCCCACCGCGTACCGGTGGCGGCAGCGCACTCACACTCACCCACACGTACACATACACAGCTGCGAGCGGCACCCAAGTGGAGTGAGCACGCGCCTACCGCAGGACCTCGGGGTAGGACGAGGACGTCCTACGTTTCGTACGGGTGCGTCTTTCTCGCGCGTATACGCGCCCCCTTGGTGTAACGCGCGCACGTACGCACACCAAGTCGAGTACACACACACACGCGCGCGCGCACGAGCGCGCACGGCTTCACCATCGCATGCGATCGACGGACGTGCGAGCGAGCGAGCGAGCGAGCGAGCAATGCATAGAGAGAAGAACGAGCGGGCATTGCACGCAACCTGTCTGTATCTTCTCGCCGTTCCCCGGTCCCTGTACGGGACGGGGCTAGGGACACGGTATCGGAAAAAGGTATCGACACTTCACTCGTTACTGGAGTCGACAAAAAAATATCGATGTCCGTATTAGCATCGGGAAAGGAAAGTATCGCGATACACTGGCGTCGATGGCAGCGCGGGTGACTGCAAGCCGAGCAAACGGTTCTATTTGCGCTCTCGCTCTCTTTTCCTCTCGTACGCGCATGTATTTAACACATATCGCCGCCCACCCCCTCCCGCGTTCCTCTGTAGAAACAGTCTGCTTGTTCAATAATCGATTTCGTTTAATAATTAGACCTACTTGGTAATTAAACGTTAGTCGAGCTTGTTTAACCCTGGAATGGATATTGGGGTTGTACAACAGTCCACGGAACTTTCAATTTTACGAACTCACTTTATTATGCTGAGATTTTGACAGCTTTAGACGCACTAATAACGTTCTTGCGTCAGGTTATATATTGCTAGAGCATGCCATTGCTTTTTTTTCTATAGCTTTAATTTTGTGGTACGGCAAGTGTAAACTGGTATAAAGTCAATTATCCTGTATGTCTATTTGTGAATTTGGGAGCTGTATATACATTCGAGAGAGGGTTGATAATCAGTGCTGAGTTAGGTAATCAAATATCGGACGTTCGCGTTAGATTTCGTAACTCAGGATGCAACTGCGCGCACGTGACGTCACAAACTTACATAACAATCAATCCTCAGTTAAGGAGTCCAACACAAACATCGAACATCGTGTCAGACTTCGCAATTCGGGACGCAGCTGTGCGTACGTGACGTCGCAAATGCTAATGACACAATTAATAATCAATCTTGAATTAAGACACAAAATTCTGACACAAAAATCGAACGTTTGTGTTAGATCTCTCTGCACAGGATGCAGTTGCGCGTACGCGATTAGAGCTCTTCTACGCGTATCTGATTCTTCCTTTTTCGTACGCCTCGGCGGAAACGCGTAGACCGTGGACAGAAGAGACGCACGTCTGAAACTAGTTCGAGCGTGTAGCGCGTTACGTGAATCGCGGACGGTCCTCGACGTCCCTCTCGATGGCCGTCTTTACCAGCCGCCGCGCGTCTCTATCTCGCTCCAGAAATCGTATTCGACATAGACAGACAGAGAGAGAGAGAGAGAGAGAGAGAGAGAGAGAGAGAGAGAGAGCTCGGTCTCACAGGAGAACTATTCCGAGGGCGAAGGACGCGCGCGGGCACGTAGCTCTCTCGTCTCCACGCATACGCGGCGCATACTCATCCTGGCTGCCGCTACAGCGTCGCCCGTCGTTGCTGCGTGCCCGGAAGGGTGCACAGAGGGAGAGCGAGAAAGAGAGAAAGACGTCGTCGCGAGTAATCGAGGAAGATAGAGGGAAAGAACGAGAAAGAGAGCAACAGGGGAGGACAGAGAGAGAGAAAGAGAAAGGAGGAGAAAGACAGAGGGAAGAGTAAACCCGGCATGCACGACTTTGCGATTCGATTGCCGAACTTGCACGAAGAACCGCGAACCGGTCTTTCCTTCCTTCCCCCCTCGCCGTCGCGGAGACGCGACGCAATTCTTCGGTGTGTAGCGCGGACCGAACGAACGACCGACCGACGATATTCGGAGCATCCACCCCGGTATGGACCACCGCTCGTAAAAAGGTTTCGATCAATTTTTAAGTGGCCGCCGAACCGGCACTACTCTCTTTCACTCTTTCTCTGTCGCTCTTCCTCTCCCGCTCTCTCCATTCTCTCGCATCTCCGGCCCACTCGTACCTTCCCCGGAAACCGACAAACAACGTTCGCCCGCTCGATCGCGTTTACTCCGTCGAGATATTCTCCCAATCTCGCGGCGCGGATCTCGCGATGTCGAGAGAGAGAGAGAGAGAGAGAGAGAGAGAGAGGGAGGGAGGGAGAGAGAGAAATGGGAGGAGAGAGGGGGGAGCGCTCCGCGTACGACGTCCTGCTCAATAAGCCTCGCTGATTCATGCTCGTTCGGCCGACAAGCGACTTTCGACTTGATCGATGGGGACTCGAAATAGTTTGTAACTTGGTGGCTACGGTCGCCTGCGGTTTCGACTTCGCAGAATATATTCGCGCGTCTCGCCTCGCCTCGCCACGCCTCGCCTCGCCTTCGCCTCGCCTCGTCGAGTCGCCTTGCGTCCCGTTTTGGTTTCACTCGAGGAAGTGAGCATTAATTCATATTAAGTGTCACTTAATCGGGAACTTCGACGGAAATAAACGTCGGACCGTCCCACTGTGCGCACCAGCCACCCCTTTTCTCGCGACCTTCCCTTCCGTATCGGATGTTTGTAGCGCGATACGAAAGACGTATCGCGCTCGCTTAATTGATGCATAGGTGGGAGGGAGGATATTCGCTGCACTTTCCGAAGGATCTCTCGCGGAAATTGTGAATTATTAGTGGATATATTTATAAGTATGTGTGTGTGTGTGTATATGTGTATTGTACGCGCGCGCGAGTGAGAGAGAGAGAGAGAGAGATCGTTCGCTCCCTCCGTCTCTCATAATGGGCGGAACGTGACTCAAAGCGCGGATATTTAATCCGTCTAACGATATTTTATAGTTCAACGCCTCGCGTTGGTAGGACGAATTGCAAAGCTTCCGTTGGAAACAGTACAAGTGTCAAGCTGAAGCGCTCGGAAAACCGGAAACAAGCTCTTCTGTCACGGTAGGAATTCTCTTTCTCTCTCTCTTTCTCTCCCCCTCTCTCTTTCTTCTCTCTCTCTCTCATCAATGTTCTCACGATAAATTACACTTTTAATAATAATATAAAGCACGAAAGCGTAATTTCGCACGTGATCACTCCGATTTGGAGTGACCAAATACGCGCTGCTTGCGCGACTCCTCCTTGTTTTTCTCCACGGTAAACTTCACGGTAATGTTTTTCTTCCGGCGAACTTGGAGCTTCTGAAACTGACTGATTCGAAAGTTCCATTCCGGGAAACATTAATAAACATTCTCGCAGGAAGTAACGCGTGAGCGAATGAGGAGACACGTCGTGTTCGCCGATGCGAACGCAACTCATCTAGCGAACGCTGCACGACGCTCCCCTTCCCTTCCACCCCCGCATCTGGCGTGTCTGGCGTCTCGCCGGAAAAAGATCAAACGTTTCCTCGAACTGCAATTAATTTGTCGCTCCATTACACGAGAAGGGGATCGAGGGGGGAGGGGATGGAGTTCTTCTTGGAGTCACGTTTAATTAAAATCGTTATAACGGCGATCGCGGATCGTTATAGTTCCGATAATAGGTGCCGCGGATATCCGACGAGTTCTCCCTCGGGCAAAAATATACGCAGTCTTACTCTTACTTGGGCGCTGCGCGCCGTCTACCAGAAATGAACCTGTTATTTCTCAGCGAATAGCAGCACACGTCCGCTTCGTTATCAGCCGATGTTGAAACAGTCGTACGGTATTAAAAACGCTCGTCGATTGCGATGTAGGTGTAACTTCGTATTTTCGAAATGAAACCTCGTGTTACGCGAAGTATCTCTCTTTCTTTCTCTGGTTGCCAGCAAAGTCGAAATTAAATACCGTCGCGTTTTTCCCCGAGAAAATCGTCGTGTTTCTCACGATGAAATTCGTGATATCGTTGGAAGATCTAAAGTCGGGTCAGTCAAAAATTTCGGTACGATCGTTCAACTAGATTTTAGTCTGTTGCAATCAATGGAAACGAATTATTCGTCAATTGAGTGATCGTTTGCCATGCTTTGCCAACATTTTGACAACGTTTGTACACCCGTCTCGTGGAATTGGACTTTTTGACTGCCGCAATGTCAATTGATATTTTCCACGATACAACACATCGATCGCGGCGATGGGTTTTGATCGCGACATAAAGTAAATACCAATCTCCGGACGATTAAGTTCTGACTATGAGAGAAAGTTATATAAAAGTCAAGAGAAAGGAATGTTTCACATAATTAACTTGTAAATTAAAATTGGACTATTTTCAAGTAGTGAAAATTAATTAATTAAACATTAATTTTTATAATAAAATTTTAATGAAGAATCCTTTATAAACCGAAAGCACAGCCTGGACGTTTATTTTACATAATTAATTTGTAAGAGAGAGCCAACAGAATACATATTAATTAAATTTTATTAATTCTGTTAACATATTAAACTTATCTTTTACACTCAATGTTTTAACTAAAAAATGTATCATTTATTTTCATAATTCAAAACAGCTTAATTAAACGTAAGAATTTATTTTAAACTACGAACGTTAATACATTCAATGAAACTCTTGCATTGGCAAATGAAATAATTATTTATTTTACAAGAAGTATAAATTTATATTGAAGTGAACATTTGGATATCTGAAACTTTAAAATGTAGTATATATAACATTAATTAATAATTTCCTGTATATACATATATCTTTTATGATGCATAAATAATATCCTATATATAGTTACAAATATAAAATAAAGAGAGGCAAATAAGAGCTAACGCCATTAACAGACCAAGAACATTGATATTTAATAATGAAATAATTACGATAATATGTGAAATTACAAACGTTTTGGTCCTAACATTTGGATCCTCTTGGACAATTAAAACCCGAAAAAGACGCCAACAAATATAACAAAGTTTTAAAGACAGTTAATTTGATCTAATGTGCAAGCACGCAACAGCATATATCATCATTACAGCTCATCTATCATATAGAGCGTGATTATTCACCAATATTCTTTAATTAATCTCAGTTATTATTACTCGACTATTATATCTCGACTATTATTATTATGAATATCGCAAAACGATATAGGACTTTTATGTTCACCTTAATTCTACGTTCTCACAAAAATTGCGGTTAAGAATCTGGGACATCCTGTATATTAACTTTTAAATGAATAAGAAAATTGAATAATAGGGTCTTTCAGACATTTTTTTAAATAGTTTCACATTTTTCCTTACCCCGAAATGTTTAAGGTTGCATATGTATTTTAAAAAAATCAGTACAGTATGAATATTTGAGGCTCAATAGCAACGAAATTTGTCAATTACTATTTGAATAACAGAAATAAATCGATCCTAGATATAAATTACTCAACATATACTTTTTATATGAGTAATAAAACTTTATTTTTTTTATATAATTGTATATTTCAATAATTTTTTAAGTTATTCTAATGTATTTAACTAAATACATACATAGTATTTTCGAATTAAATACAACATACACACACTATACACACATATATGATATTTTCGAATTTTTACGAGGCCGTTTTAATTTGAACAAACATGGAAACGGTTAACGTTAAATTACATTAAATTAAATTAATTTAAAATATTTTTTTATAATGCATAAAAATATCTTTTTGTTATTTAGCCTTATTTCCTTATGTAAAACACATTATTTAATGATAAAATATTTCCATTTTCATACATGCCAAAATAAGTCAACTTTACAAAATACCATAATAAACTATTTTTTATTAATTGTTACAATCTTAAATATAAGACCCCAAATCTTTTTTTCTAAAAGGAATTACAAAAGTTATGATTTGTTAAATGAAGTAACTTTTTTATAAATTCTTGTTCAAAAGATAACAAGAAATGTATACCTATATTTTTTTAAATATAGATACGTTGAATGCATGAGTGACATCTTTCTCCCTCTCCTTATTCATTATTAACATGCCAAAAGTATATACATATTCACCGTAAGGTAAACGTCTCGGTGATCGAACATACATGTCCTAATGATTGACATATTGGTTTTGTATTTTTCTTTGTTGAAATGCTTTTCAATATACAAAACAATATAATAAATGAAATGAAATATTTAGTTACTTTGTGATTTTGTTTATTG